CTCACTTGCGATAAAGAGTGTAAAACATTTTTTTTTGCTTAAAATTACCATAAAAGGAAAATTTTTAACAAAACGGACACGATCAGGAGAGAGTTTTTTTTTAAAAAATTATTATTTATTTTAAAATTAAAACATAATTTTATAATATTTCTTTTAATATTTATTTAAGAACAAACTTACAAAAAATATTTATAAATTAATAATAAATAATTTTTATTCATATTATCATTTATAAAAATTAATGAAAATTATATGTTCTTATTTTTAGTACATTTAATAATATAGATTATAAAGAAATTTTATTTAAAATTAAAACTATAAAAAATTCAAGAAAAATAAAATATGTATTATTTAAAATAATAATATTATTAATTAAAATACTGGAAGTTTTGAGATTGACTTTCTCTTTAAAAAAATTTTTTTGTTGCTTTATCATTTGTTTTTAATTAAAAAGTTTTGTTTGATATTTGGGTATTGTTAACTTGTATTTGAATTAGTCAAAGTGTAACATTTAATATATAGGGTCATTATAATATTAGGATTAATAAAGAAAAACTTTATTAAATATGAAAGAAACTAAACAACTTTGTTATTTTTTAAAGAAAAAAGAGCTTTCTTATATAGATAATTTTCTATATAAATAATAAAGTAATAATACATAATTGAATATAATACATATAATATTATAATATTATCAACAAGTTTTTGCTTATTTGTATCAAATATAATTGATTGCCTTTCTGAACATGATATTGTTTCATTCTTTATATCATTTCAAAAAATGCATAATTGTATTAACATTATGATTTGGTATTCTGGGTGTAGGTTTAGCTCCAAAATCATGGATACAACAATTCTTCTTTTCTCAAAATCTGTTAATTGAATATTTTGAATAATAATAATAATCGTAGTAATAACATAAATAATTTTTTTATAAATATAATTATTATATCATAATTACCTTTATACAATTTATACATTTAACTATTTTATTTAATCTATTTTATTTAATCTATTTTATATAATCTACTATATATATTTTTTATGTATATAAAATTTTGAATGTACTTTTGGAGGATACTGTATATAATAAATATTAATGAAAATATGCTTACCATCTGTAATCGCTATTAAAGTAAAGGATATAACTCAGATCAATTTAAATCATTTTCTATATGAATTAACTTGACAAATATTTATTGAAAGCATGCTTACCGCCTGTAATCATAGAATATAACACAGTTAAATTGATGTGAATTTACTCAATAAATATCAATGAAAATATGCTTACTGTTCTGTAATAGTTGTTAAATTAGGGAACATAACTCTGATAAATTAAAACGCCATTAGAATGATTGCTCGCGATATAATAAAAATATTCTTACAAACCAAAAGTAAAGTACGTATACAGCTTAAATCAATTAAAACGTCTGATAAAAATTTACTCAACAAATATCAATGAGTATATTCTTACTCTCTAAAGTAAAGAACATAGCTCGGATCAATTAAAAACATCCTTTATATTGTTTTACTTAACAAACTTTAATGAAAATATACTTACCGCCTGTAATCATTGTTAGAGGGTATAGCTCAGATTAATTTATGTGAAATTATTCAACAAATATTAATGTAAATATGCTTACTCTCTAAAGTAAAGAATATAACTCGGATCAATTAAAAATCTTCATATGGAGTTACCCAACAAATGTTAATAAAAGCATGCTTACCGCCTGTAATAGTTGTTAAAGCAATGATATAAAATATCAATTTAATATTAATTTACTAATAAAATAAATGAAATGTGCTTACTGTCTGTAATCGTTATTAAAGTAAGAAGCATAATTCAGATCAATTAAAAACATCTTTGATATAAATTTATTTGACAAATATTGGTAAAAATATGCTTACCGTCTGTAATCGTGTTTAAAGTAAAGAACATTACACATAATTATTAAACACCTTAGGCATAAGCTTACTTAATAATATTAGTGGAAATGTACTTGCCCGCTAAAGTAAAAAATACAGCTCATATCAATTACGACAACAAATATTAATGAAATATGCATACAATCTATAATAGTAGTAAAATAATTTAACTCGTATCTATTAAACACCTTTTATGTGAATTTAATATTAAAACAGAATATACTTACTGTCTGTAATCGTTAAGAGTATAACTCGGAATCAATTTAAACACCTTTTATATTATATAAATTTACTCACAAACATTAATAAAATGAACTCTTAACAAATATTAATGAAAATATACTATACTTACCAACTAAGGCAACGAATATAATTCAGATCAATTACAATCTTCTTTAATGTAAGCCTACTAAACAGATATATGTGAAAATATACTTACCGCCTATACTCGTCGTTAAAGTAATAATAGAACACAAATCAATAAAAACATATTTACTTAATAAATGTTATTGGAAATATACTTACCATATTAATCGTTGTTAAAGCAAAGAACATAACTCAGATTAATCAAAACTTCTTTGACATGAATTCACTTGCTAACATTAATGAAAATATGTTTACCGACTAAAAGTAAAGAATATAACTCAGATCAATTAAGTACTTTTGATATGATTTCTTCACAAATATTAGAAAAGTATGCTTGCCATCTGCAACCGTTATTAAAGTAAAGAACAAGGCCTAGATCAGTTAAACACCTTGATATTAATTGCTTAACAAATATTAATGCTTACCAACTAAAGCAAAGATTATAACTCGAGTCAATTAAAACGTCTTTGATGTAAAAATATTAATATAAATATGCTTACACACTAAAGTAAATAATATGACTCAAATAAGTTAACTTAAAAATATCTATAATATGAATTTACTAACAATAATTAATGAAGATATACTTACACTCTAAAAGTAAAGAATGTGACTCAGAACAATTAAACTCCTTTGATATAAATTTACTCAACAATTATCAATGAAAATATTCCTACTCTCTAGAGGTAAATAATTAAAGAATATAACCGAAATCAATAAAAACACCTTTGATATGGTTTTACTCACAAATATTGATGAAATTATGCTTACTTCCTAAAGTAAGAATATAACTCGGATCAAAAATCACCTTTTATATTTATGAATTTACTCTACAAATGTTAATAATATGCTTACCGTCTGTAATAGTTGTTAAAATAAAAATATACAATAGATTGTTTTGGCATAAATTTTCTCAAAAAATATAATGAGAATATGCTCACCGCCTGTGACCATTGTCAAAGTAAAGAATATAACTCGGATCAATTAAAACTCCTTTAATATAGATTTACTGATAAATATTAATGAAAATATGCTTACTGTCTGTAATCGTTGTTAAAGTAAAAAAATATAACTCATAACTAAAAACTTTTTGAGTTTTGTATAACAAATATTAGTGAAAATATGCTTACCGTCTTAAAGTAAGAATATAACTCATCAATTAAAACACATTTAATATAAATATCTTAAACAAATATTAAAAAAGTATTCTTACACACTAAAAGGAAAGAACAAAATCCGACCAATTTTAAAAAACATCTTTGAGATGAATTCGCTCTACAGATGTTAATGAGAATATGTTTACTGTCTGTAATAGTAGTTAAAATAAAAGACATAGCTCAGGTTAATCAAATCCTTTGATATAAAATTACTTAAATAAATATAACGAAAATATGCTTACCATCTGTAATCGTTGTTAAAAAAAGGAAATAGCTTAGATCAACTAAACCCTTTAATATGAATTATTCAACAAATATCAATGAAAATATGCTTACTGTCTGTAATCGTTAATGTAAAGAATATAACTCGATAAATTAATACACATTAAGGTGAATTTACTTAATAAATATTAACGAAATATACCTACACACTATAAAAATGTAACTCGGATTAATTAAATACTTTTGACATGAATTTACTCAACGAATGAAAATAAAAATATACGCACGATCTGTTTTGTATTAAAGAATTATGACTCAGATTAATTAAAGCACTATTGATATGAATTCTCTCAGTAAATATTAATGAAAATGTGCTTACTCCCTAAATGTAATGAGCATAACAGACTAATTAAACCACATTTGATGTAAATTTACCCCAAAAATATTTATGAAAATATGCATACACCCTAAAAGTAAAGAAGATAACTTGACGCCAGATACGTATAATAAAAGCGATTTGCATTTATGACGTAGGTACTGTAATTGTAATTGTTTTGTCGATCACATGCATCACGTGCACGTAACTACAAAAAGCTGATCGAAAATTTTTTTCGAGTTTATGTAAATAATGGGTAAACATAAATTATCAAAATCTCAAAAAACACCTATTCATATAGAACCTTCGTGGGTTGATTTTATTGATGATTATATTTCCAATAATTCAAAAGAGTTGCATGAAAGTACAAAGAAAATCAAAGAACTTGTTTGTGATCCCAAGGCAACATGGGAGAAACAGTGCAAGCTTTTAAAAGATATTGGTGAGTTAGCTTTAATGAGAGGGATTTTATTTAATTAATTTCTTAAAGCAACTTCAGAACGAGATCATAATTTGTTTGTTTTATCAGAAAAATTTTTACCTTCGAAAAGAAATAAGAACAATCAAGATCTAATCGTTGAATCTTTATCTGACAATTTTTTGCATCAGATAAATGTCATCATCGAGCCAATAATTTCAGAAATTTATTTTATGTCGGTTGATCCATTAATAAAACGACATTGCATTCCGATACTGGAAGCTTGTTATATAGTTTCTTCAAAATCGCAATTTTCTGATGATACCTTGAAGGAATCGGATGAAGTTGCTACGAGTTTTACCAAGGAATATACCAATTATATTTCGAACAAGTATTACTCGACACAATCATTCTTTCAAAAATCGATGACAGTATACCTGACATTAGACTTTCCAGTCGGGTTCTCTACCGTGAAAAAAAAACTAATTGATACGGTCTTTTTTTTGGTGGACTGTCTAACAAATATTATTCAAAATGTAAATATAGAAAAAGAAAATTCAAATAAAATTCCATTAGGCGGTTCATCAATGTCTATCAAACTTTCACAACACATGAGTGATTCTCAGCATGTCATGAAAACGATGGTAGCGTTATTATCTAGATTTCATACAGAGTTAAGATCCAAATTCGAAAACGTTGGAGAGAGATATGATAGTTCCCACGGTATTTCATATGATTCCAGAGTAGAAGCGATGGTTTGCAAGCTACTCAGCGGATGCTTTGTTATATGCTCTGACGAAATTTACGTTAAGGATGTTAGACAACTTTCTGGAATGGCATTAGCCGCAACATTTAACCTGCTTGGCTCACCTGGATTCGTGAGCAGGTTGGTAGTAGATCAAATTTTTAAGGCTTCACGTTTTCAAGATCAGAATTCTCAATGTATCTTAGACAGAATGGGAATCAAAATTCCTGTTTCATTAATTGATGAGCATGGATGGTCTGGTGACGAACCTTTAATGCTAGTTGTTAGCCGAGGACTACTATCGAATTTGTCGAGGTCAACATTGATATATCCAATATCTTTGGATTGTGAATCTGCGGTTGCGGCTTTAAGGTTTGTCTGTCTTGTTTTTTTAAATAAAACCGCTCAGATAGTAATGTTGTTCATGGCACAGTTTCTTAATGCATTCTTAATTTTATACCAGATCTCATTCGAATATAAAGTCACTTCATCATATACTGTTCATTAGTATTGAACATTTTTCTGATAAAGCACTCAGTGTGCAAACAAAAGTGGTGGCATTCGAAACAATCGGGATTTGGCTTGAAGAAACGGAGGGTATGTTGGGCGATCCATGTAACGATGATCAAGAAACAATGGGAATTAGATTAATATTTAGCTCAGATGTATTGGAAAAATTAATGTCATATGTTTGGAATAATTGGGATGACCCGGTAGATGCCATTCAATATAAGGTAAGAAGTTATTATCAAGTCTTACCAGTAGAATTTTTTCTGTTATTAAAATTCAAAGGTTTTTTGTTCTAAAACAAAATAAATTAGGTCAAAACGATATTTGAAAAATTGTTGGACGTGTATTATCTTAAATGCCATATAGAAAATTCGACAGAATTATATGATCAATTTCAAATGAGTCTATTAAAGCGTTTGCTTGTGATGGATTCGTATCGCAAAGTAAAATATGCACTATTGTCATTATTGCTTCCCAAGATTGGAACAAAGATTATTCTAGAGATGCAAACTGATTTTGTAAGTTCTGTATTGGAAGTATTTCAGAATCTTGTTATTGCCCCAAGAGCTGCGCAGTTGTTGGTTTTATTCCTTGATCAATACTTCAATGAAATTGCGAAATCATCCAGCAAGGATGCATCTAATGTTTTACAGCACGAGGTAAGTAATTTGGTGAAAGTATTGCGGTATTTGCGTATGTGATTCCTCTTGAATAATTGTGATACAAACAGGACATTGAAGGGCAATGGGCAGAATTGTGGCTTAGTCCAATTTGCAAAGGTCTTTTATCAAGTGATGAAATTTTGAGAAAAAATATAGGAGCCTTCGTTTTAAAGCCTCTGTTCAAAAGTAGGCCGAGTTCATTTTGGAAATTATTAGAAAAATTACAAGATCAGAAGAATTCAGAAGGCTTTATAAAAGACGAACAATATAGATTAAATGCCCTGATAATGATAGTTAAGATCGCAAAATCTTTAGATATAATAGATAGTGGCAAGTTCATCGAAGGTACTGAATTTTATTAACTCCAATTATCATTACTTGTGTAGCACACTTTTAAGTTTCCTAAATTTATATAGATCCCTCAAATAATAAAAGATTCTGCTTACAGTCTCTTCGTGATGCAATCTATCATCTGGATCCAAACATTCGCATTGATATCCTTGGTCTCATCTGTGAATCCCAAAAATCAACAACGGAGATAACATCAGTTGAACTTTCACTCCTCAAATCATTTTTCAAAATGAATCTCAATTCGACTTCTCCGGAATTCCGACAAAAACTCTATGGTTATTTGACCAAATTATTTAC